ACCAACTGTAGGTAAAACCTCCTGTTAAATGAGAACAGTAAATGTGACCTGTAGCTCCTTGAGTCTGCACAGGGTGAACTTTGAGTAAAACAGCGTGTAGCTTGATCCTGAATGTTTGGCAGACATGCAACAGACACCTTTCTACTAACCCTTACATTTGTTTTATCAGTATGCCCATCCCTCTTAGCAATGCTGGATGCCCTGGCCCTGCCTTCAAATGCCACCTGGGGCCTGTGCAAACCCCAAGAGAAAAGGTGGGAGAAGGCTGCTGCCAGCACTGAACCTGCAGCCAGAGCACGGCTGAGCCCTCTGCACTTCTTGCAGGGTCAAACAAGTATGAAGTGAGCATACCAACAGCCGAGTATCTTCTGCCTCATGAGGTATCAGGGCACCCTAAACCCAGAAAGCAGCTTTAATAGTTGCAAATTTTGCTGATGCAGCCCCAATGGAGACTGTGAATCAAACCCCTTACCACTGGTACGTGTGGTGTGGACTTACACACACACATACACAAAGGGTCCATGAAATGTTGACAACACAGGGGTCATGTTGTTCTCTTTATCCTAGGAAATAACAGAGAAAATTAAGTCTAAAGACTCACAAAGTCAGCAACCTTCTTGAAAAGATGGTGATTGTGATACAGTAGCTCTCTGTTTCCCTTGCATATGCAGAGTACAGCCTCCAACACAGTAGTATTGGAGAGTGGCTATGCTTTTCAGAGTATTTTCAATCCTCACACTTTTTCTTACTTTGAATAAGATTCAGCACTGGGGACCTCACTTGAGGAAGACACTGATCTACAAATGATTGCGAACTTGACGTCTTCTTCTTCATTCTATATGCCCACTCAGGAGATGCCATACCCAACAAAATGAGCCAGCCCCACTGAATGCCTGGGAGACTCATCAGATGGAATTTTACAACTGTACATAATTTATGAAAATTTGATTACAGCAAATGATGGATAAATATGGGACAACTTTTAATCTCTCACTCTGCAATTCTGAAAACATCAACAAGACAGATCTGCACTCTGAGCACCTTTGTAAATATCACTTTATATGATAAAAAGGACTTTCACATGCTCATCAGGAAAAAAAAATGTTTATACTGCTTATCCTCACATCTGAAATGAAATCTAATGTTTACTTCCTATGCTTTATTCATAGGGAAGTGAAGCATCCAGCAAAGGCCTATTGGTACAGAAGGAAACCATAGATACCAACAACCGTGCTACTCAGCTTGTGCAGCAGCTCAATAACATCAGAGATAACATTGAAGGTAAATAGATTTCTTTCTGGCTCAGCTCAATGTCAAGAATGTATTAATGAAACCTTCATGTGCTAATGAAT